GGGGGGGTTTGAAAAAATATTTGAGAGAATTGGGGGGATGCAAAATTTTTAGGAGAGATTGCCCGGGGGGATAGTTATTTTTTGGGAGACTTCAAGGGGGGGTCTTAAGAACTTTTTTGTCATTTAAAAATTTCACCTGCCTCTCCCCCCCACCCCCACTCTGCCATACATTATGAATGCAGGCTAAGGGCAGACTTACCATTCCATTCCGTTCCTGATCAGTCTGTAAATCCTCCAAGGATGTTAGTAGTATCAAGGCCAAGCTGCCATACAGCCAGCCCTTCAGTGCTCAATGTCTGGAAGTGTGGTCCTCAATTTATTAATACATTCTATCCCGTTTTTTTCTTTCTTCTGAGTAAAAGCCCTTCCTCCAAAATCAGTGTCCTGCATAGAATGACCAGGCATTGGAACAGCCTGCTTGATGTTGCCACAGCTGCTCTTCCTGCAACATTAACATCTTAACACTCTGCTGACTGACTGCATAAGCCTYGTAGAAAGGGTAGTGTCGTATTTTGATGTAAAATTAATGTAAAACGAAAAATTATCAAATTTTCAATTCTCAGTCCCTTGGCACCCCCTTTTAGTCTATATACAGTAAAATCCCGCGTATAAGAACCTAAAATTTAAGTACCTGTTGGGCTAAAATTTCATTTTTAAGCACCCTTCACATAAGAACCATTTTAGGCTAAAATCCTAAAACAGGTTCTTATTTTTTAAAAAGAAAATAGAATCAATCTTTTCAAAAATATATTTATAATACAGTCTGTACACAATAATGCTATAAACACTATAACTGTACATGGTTACTGTAAAGAACATGTCCTCATTGAATAAAAAAATCCAACTTATAATGAAACTTAATTTTATTTCTTGAACAAAAGTTAAGAACCTAATTAAGAACCTAGTTAGCCTAATTTAACACTAAATACCATTTATATAAGAACCTGTTTAGGCTAACTTGAAAAAACCTAGGTTCTTATACGCGGGTTTTTACTGTATTTTAAATCAAAGCCCCCCTCTCTGCATACACTCTTTTCTTAAAAGGTACCCAGTATATATTTTTAAAAAATCAAAAATCAAAAAAAATTGCAAATTGATGTAAATTAATTTTTATGTACTAACACAGCTTCAGCCGGAATTTTTATAACTAAAGAAATAGCATACCTCATGGAAATATCCTTGGCAGAAGCTTGATCATGAGGATTACTATAATGCTGGATTTCATTACAGTCAAACTACCTGAAGGGTGAACACGTAGAGATCATTAATGACTTTATTTTTTGATTCTTGATTTCATTATTCGATTCGAAGATTCATTAATGAAAACGAATCTTCAATATTCAAAAAATAATAATAATTTGAAAAATTCGATTAACTTGGCTTGTAGGCTCTTGTTTATAGCGCAAACAGAAGGTAAGTCATTAATGTTACATATTCCTTGCACAAAAAATTGTTTTTGCATTTCAGTTGCATATTTGCTTGGCTTTTGTATATGCCAGGCTTTGAATGTTCAAATCGAATAATAAAATCAAGAATCAAAAAATAAAGTCATTAGGTCATTAATGACCTCTACGTGTTCACGCTTGAGGTGGTTTGACTGTAATATGTGCCTATTTTTAAAACATTGTCAATTGGAAAACTAAAATCTGAAATGTGAGACTGATTAAAATGCTTTAGCATAAACACAAGGTAATTATTGAAAATCTCGCGCGCTGATTGGTCGAAAAACTCACACTATCACATGATAATCACCTCCAGCGATAATCCAAAATGGTGGCCAGCCTCTTTGTTGCTGTTACCAGGGAAAAATGTGTCTTTGACTTTCCTTTTTTTCTTCTTTTTGTTAAAAGAATAGCCTGTGTATTTGTACTAGAACAATTATTCACCTCAGGCTCAGTGAATATCGGGATTAATAACCTCAACTTTGTTTTGGTTATTATTCCCCGATATTCACTTCACCTTCGGCGAATAATTGTTAAATAAAGTGAAGTATATTCACATTCAAACAACATAATTCTCTTTTAGATCGGAATATGAATCATGACCTTTGAGCTAGTGCTATTATTTTCGTATTTTAACGAGAAAACATAAAAGCACAATAATTCTGTATCGTCTCAGATTGCCTTTTTTTGATCTCTGACAATGTTTTATGAAATAGGTGTAAGACTATACTACATGAAATGGCACCATTCTGTAATAAAGATTAAGGTTAGGTTTTTTGGGAGTTTGGGTTAGGATTAAGGTTTGGTTGAGTTATCCAGTACCGCTTGAAAGATGGTTTTTCATTGCTTCCTAAGTACAGTACCGCTTTTGTAAGTTTAGGTTTAGTGCTATTTGTCTGGATGAATAATTTATCTCGTGTTTTAACCCAATCATGTGAGTCATTCCGAGCGGTACGGGCTGGCTCGTTTGGATTAGGGTTTCAGGATGTTATAACCAATAATAAATAATTAATAATCCAATATTGCCATTTCATGTAGTCTTACATGAAGTGCTAACCAATGACATGAATTTTTTACAAGCTACAGATAGATATGTAATGAGTTATCAAGTCTTATTAGTAATTATTAGCATAGGATAGACTTGTTATTTTAAATACTATGATTATTTAGAAATGATTACCACTCTTTTCACTGCTACGCACTGATAGACTTTATGAAGTGATTCATTATCATTGTCAGTACTAAATAAAAGATTTATTAACTATCAATATACACACGTCTACACGTCTACAATCATTTTGGCAAGTGATCAACTATTAACAATAATATTGTTGACGTTCAATAAAAGATAGCTTCAGCAGTTGTGTCAAACAGTGTTAGCAGTATATCYTACACTATTGTTCTGTCTTCCTGGGTTTCTGAATTTCAGCAAAGGAATTAACCCCAGCACTAGATCAAGAATGCCACAAAGAATCATTCCATAGCCAAAATAGGAAAGACGAGTAGATTCCTTGACAAGATAGCGAAATATCAATGACCAAATAATCCCAAGGAGAATGAAGCAGAATCCCATAAAGAGGATTTGTATACCACGACGACGCCAAAACGCTGTGAATTCTCTTCCAGTGTTGACATCGATGCCATCTACGAAGAGCCTGAAGCTTCCAACTGAACTAGTTAGGGATAAGCTGTTGTACATGAGCATGAAGTGATGACCTTCTTGATCCCACTCACTTACGCCTCCAGGACAACACAAAGGACTGCATGGATTGTAAGATAGAGGATAAGAAAGGCTTTCTCCTTCGCGTAGCTCATTGTTCACAAAGAYCTGATATCGTTCGCTGCAGCAGCTGATATCTCGCTTGAGTTGGACGACGAACTGTTTGTGCTGATCTTCTCCAATTTTGAGGTTTGTGGCCCACGTAATCGTAGTCTTGCAACAAGGCATTTTTAAAACGTCTCCTAAGACACGTTTTAAGAAACAAGCTCTGTAAAGTGGCAAAGTCAAGCCGCTTTGTCTMTAAAAACTCCCAAACCTCGAAGAGTAACTACTGTAGCCAATGGAGGAGAAAGTTGGATGCCTTCGGATTTCTTTGACATTCTTGTCATTCGCTATTTTTCACGGGGGAGGGGTAACCGACAAAACGTTTATTAAATCAAATACAACTAATATCCTTTCATAAAATAAATAATCAGCATTCATATTGACGATAATGCACGAAAGGACGAAAATGTATATTTGTGTTAAAATATATTTAAAAAGTAGTTAGATTTTAGCTATGTAAAAATATTGCTTTGGACCCTACCCCCCACGGTTGACTTGTTTGCGGGAAATTCACACAGGTATCCCAACTACAACAAACAATGGAGTCTCAGAGATGTCTCGGAGGGTGTGTGTTCTGTGGGGACAGGGGCGAGTGGTCTTGGTGACGCTCTTACAGAAGTAAGTTTGAGTGAAAACAAAATGATAGTCTAATCTTTTTTTACTACTAAACGTGATAACTAGTCATCATGAACAGATTCCAAACTTGGAAATTTGGTTTCCATAGATATCAAATGAGTAATCGCATCAGCTGTGTGTGTGATTCAATTGTTTTTATATGGCTAGAAAAATTTTGTTGTCAAATAACATCCATAACCCTGAAACAACCTCTGGGCTGATCTAAGTCAGGGCATGGCTAACTCACAGATAGAACCCAGAAACAAMCTCTGGGCTGATCTAAGTCAAGGCACGGCTAACTCACAAATAGACCCTGAAACAACCTCTGGGCTGATCTAAGTCAGGGCATGGCTAACTCACAGATTGAACCCTGAAACAACCTCTGGGCTGATCTACGTCAGGGCATGGCTAACTCACAGATTGAACCCTGAAACAACCTCTGGGCTGATCTAAGTCAAGGCAAGGCAAACTCTTAGATTTAACCCTGAAACAACCTCACAGATTGAAAGAAAGTCAGGGCACAGCTAACTCACTGATTCATTTGGACATGGACATGGACATGGCAGAAAACTAGAGAATAAAGGTTGACCTTTACCCCTAATCTAATCACACCAGATGCAGAGTCCAGGAATCAAGTTATTGCTATATGCATCCTTAATTTTAGCTGAAAGCCAGCTGATCTGAAATTGTGACCTAAAAATGACATCACTGCAAAACTGAGGTGTCATAAAACCTGCAAAAATTGACCAGAGAAAAACAGAAAAACACTTGTCATGAGTTAAGTCACTTTTTTAATTGGGCTGAGACATTAAGCAAAACTAATTTCCATAAGAATTAATGTAAGCTGCGGTCCAACCTTGACTTGCAAACAACCATTGTTTCATGGWCACTAAGTATAAAGTTAATCCTATTTGTCATTTGGTAATACCACTGTAATCCATGACTACAACCACCACAATACGACACTTTCTGATTCAAATTGCAAGTATAAATTATTTGTGTCCTTATTATTATCAAATTTATGTATCAAAATTTTCTGAAATTACATAGTCTAGAACTCCCTAAAATCTTACGCTCCTCAAGCTTTAACAGAACTTATTGAAGAAACATTTTATAGTTTACAATTACCAGAACCTGCCAAAACCAATATTGCTCTACCATTGCTCATTGTGCTTCACAATTTTGACTCTGGAATTAGATGAGCTCAAGATGATGGATAAAGTCTGTTTTATCATCAATAATTCTTAAAAAGTTGTATAGAAAAAGCACGTTACGTTCTTTGGCAGATAATTTTCCAAGGATGAATGTTAATTATATATCATAACAGTAAACATAAGTAATTTATAATACAAACGAAATTCTGTGAGACCAGTTTACAGAAGCTCCTTGAATATCAGCCCGAGCATTTCGATATTTAAAACAAGTAGAAATCCCAGCTATTAAATACAATAATCCAATTATTAAGAATGGAATATGAAGCAGAACAATCTCATCAAAATGCATGTATCCATCGCTTATTGTCATCAAAAGGAAAGCCAATATAGATGAAAACGAAAACRAGAACAATCCAAAAACAACCATCTTCTGTCCTTGATTTTTCCAAAATAGAGAGAATTCTACATTCGTATGGACCTCGAAACCATTGATAAATAGATAAATCCTTCCACAAGGTTGAGTCAGCAGAGGACCACGAAGTAACAACATAAATTCATATTCGTTTTCTTGCCAAGTAAAAATGCCATCTTCTGAGAAAAAGGGCGTAAGTGGGTGCCACTTCAGATCACAATCTTTTTGGATCCCATTGATATACAAATGACAATTCTCCCAGAATCTCCCCAGAGTTCTAACGACTTTAACATCATAATGGATGTCTTGTCCCAAAACCAACTGCCAGGATTGAGTGGTTGTTGGACAATAGAATGGTTCTTGCTGAATCTCATGGTACATAGTGGTGGTTTAAACCTCGCGAGTAGACATCGACATCAACATCTAAACTCATCTRCGTTCCCTCATCTAAACAACCTGGTCAAGATCTAGACTTTGTTGCTTTTATAACGAGTGCAGTGTTGTCTTGCTTCAATCATTCCAAGGAATAATAAACTTTTCTAGTCACACAATGATCACGGGACAACACAGGGAGCCCAAACCATGCCATAAAAAAGTTGAATCAAAAATTATAATTTCTTTAATAAACCTAAATATAATTTCGAAGTAACAAAAATAGTCATTATATTTTTGCTATAAGGCGTGTAATACTAATGAAAAATGTTTGAACTCGTTTAAAACTGAATTAATATTGGCTTTGGGCTTCCTGTGGTTTTACAAAGGCAACCCAGAATGAACCAATTTTTAAATATTGAGTCAACAATATGCGCTCTTAAGGAAATTGAAAAAAATTTCCATTAAAAAATTTGTTTACTACATAACTTATCAAGCGGTCCTAAATAACTAATTTAGCGCTGAAAAAAACTTTTAAATCTATGTAGCATTTTTCGTTTGCTCTTTTTTACAATTTTGTTATCTGCCCTCCGCCCTCCCCTCCCTCGTTACAACACTTTATCGTCGGTCGCCATCTTTTAGGCGCTATTCACTTATCTTTTCCAACGCTAAAAATCGCTTTAAAATCATCAAATATCCCTCGTAAGTAAGCCTGGATATCATTATATTGACTTAACTCAGCCAGTGACTGATATTATTGMTAATTTGTGCTTTAGTAGGGGTTTAAAGTTTAGAATGTTTGCGATAAACTTCCAAGTTGTCTTCAAGCTTCGTTTCTTTACACTTTGACTTGAGGAGAAAATACGGAAAAAAATTAATATTTGATTGGAAATTTTAAATTCAGCTTACCAATRAGATTGTTTGAAGTCATGTGTTGATATTTCAGCCTTTGGATTTCTGTTTTTCGGTTTAAATATATGAACAAAACCCCTTGAAATCATTCGAGAAAGTATTCGAAGTTTGAATTTCCCACTGTACGTAGGGTATATTAGAAAAATTGCTTAGGGAATGTAGCTGCAGGTTCGATTCTTGGAGTCGGCATCGAATGTAGGTAGAGTTTGCTTGGTCGCTTCCTTGATTCATATGTGAGTTAGCCAAGCCCTGACTTAGAT